TATTTATTTATTTATTTTTCAGGGAGAGAACACAAGCAGGGGGAACAGCAGACAGTGGGAGATGCAAGATCCCCACCGAGCAAGGAACCTGACCTGGGACTCAATCCCAGGACTCTGGGATCATGACCTGAGCCAAAGGCAGACGTTTAACTGACTGAGCAACTCAGGGGCCCCATCCTTTGTCTCTTCTTCCTGTCTTTGTTTAAAAGTCTGTTTTGTCCCATATAAATTTTGCTACACTAGCTTTCTTCTGACATCCATTTGCACGATAACGTTTCTATATCCCTTGTCAGTCTGCAGGTGTCCTCAGGTCTGAAGTGAAATCTCTTGTAGGCAGCATACTGATGGGTCTTATTTTTTTAATCTACTCTGTCACTGTGTCTTTTTATTGGAGGGTCCAGTCCATTTAACTTAAAAGTCATTATTGATACGTATTTACTGTCATTTTGTTACTTACTTTACGGTTGTCATTTTTCTCTAATCCTTTCTTGTGTACTCTCTCATGTCTCCAGTTTTCGTTAGTGATATCTGTGGATTCCTTTCTGTTCATTATTTATATATATATTATTGGTTTTTGATTTGTGCTTACCATTAGGTTTGTATATAACATCTTCTGCATTAGGACAGTCTATATTGAGTGGATGGTCACTTAAGTTCGAACCCATTCTTTATCCCCCACCCCAACCATGTTTAAAGTATGTGGTGTCATATTTTACATCCTTTTATTTTGTGAATCCCTGGACTGATATTTCTGTAGAAATACTTTTCCTTTCTGCTTTTGTGTGAACCAAGCATACTTTGACTTCTGGTCTTTCTTTTTTTTTTTAAATTTATTTTATTTTATTTTTTATTTTTTTTAAGATTTTATTTATTTATTTGACAGAGAGATCACAAGTAGATGGAGAGGCAGGCAGAGAGAGAGGAAGGGAAGCAGGCTCCCCGCCGAGCAGAGAGCCCGATGCGGGACTCGATCCCGGGACCCCGAGATCATGACCTGAGCCGAAGGCAGCGGCTTAACCCACTGAGCCACCCAGGCGCCCCGACTTCTGGTCTTTCTACTCAGAGAGTCTCCTTTAAGACTTTTTGCAGGGCTGGGGCACCTGGGTGGCTCAGTTGGCAAAGCGTGCGACTCTTGGTATCGGCCCAAGTCATGAACTCTGGATGATGAGATCGAGCCCCACATCAAGGTCTGTGCTCAGCGGAGGAGTCTGCTTGAGATTCTCTGTCTCCATCTCCCCTCTGATACACAAATAAATCTTCTTAAAAAAACATTTCTTTCAGGGCTGATTTAGTGGTCATGAACTCCTTCAGTTTTTGCTTGTCTGAGAAACTTTTTTTATCTCTCCTATTTTGAATGAAAGCCTTGCCTGATAGAGTATTCTTGACTGTAAATTCTCCCCTTTTAGCACTTTTATAGATCATGTTCCTCTCTTTTGGCCTGAAAGGTTTATGCTGAAAAATCCAGTGATAGCCTTATGGAGTTTCCCTTGTACGTGACTTTCTCTTGTTCCTTTCAAAACGTTCCTTTATCCCTGTTTTGTTTTGTTTTGCCATTTTAATAACTATGTGGACGATCCCTTTTTTTAATTTTAATTTTTTTATTTTTGCGGTGGGGGATGGGTTGGGGAATGCTCTCTGTGTCTCCTGGACCTGGATCTGTTTCCTTCCCCAGATCTGGGAAGTTCTCAGCTATTATTTCTTCAAGTAAATGTTCTGCCCCCTTACTGCTCTCTTCTCCTTCTGGGATCCCTATAATGTGAATGTTTTATGCTTGATGGAGTCACTGAATTTCGTCAGTCTCTTCTTACTTTGCATAATTCTTTTTTTCTCTCATTTGTTCACCTTGATTACTTTCTATTACTCTGTCTTCTAGTTCATTAATTCGTTCCTTTGCATATTCCAGCCTATTTCTCCATCAAGTGTATCTTAAATTTCATTTCTTGAGTTCTTCACCTCTGACTGGTTCCTTTTTATGTTTCCCATCTCTGTAAGGGTCTCACCGATGTCCTTCACTCTTTTCTCAAGTCCAGTGAGTATTTTTATGATCGTTACATTAAATTCCCCATCAGGCATGTTACTTCTCCCCACTTTGCTTAGGTCTCTTGCTATGGTTTGGTCCTGTCCTTTCATCTGTGATCGATTCCTCTTTCTCCTCATTTTACCTAACTCTCTGTGTCTGATTCTGTGGGTTGGGAATGTCAGTTTCGTCTCTTGCTCCTGAAACCAGTGGGCGGCAGCGCACTTCTATCAGGATGGGGCTTGTCCTCCTCTGCGGGGCGGGGCTGGAGAGAGGGAATGCAACCCCCTTGGAGACAGGCATGCAGGCTCCCCAAGATGGCTGAGTGGGGGGAGGGAAGTGGCATCTGCCAGCTCCTTTGTTCCTGGAGAAGTCCCTCAGGGAACTCTGAGATGACTAACCAGCACTGCCTCAAGCAGCCCCAGGTGCCTTGCACACTGCAGCTTTGCACTCTCTGCAGAGACAGCAGGTGGCTCCTTCGGGGCGGGGACTCAGCTCCTGATTGCCCTCTGGGCTCTCTCAGAGCTGATTTTTAAGCTGATTTTTAAGGTTTGAGGCTTTATGTCCCCTTGGTTGTAAACAAGCGTTGAGAAAACTTGGCTCCTCTGATTTTCAAAGCCAAATGCTGTGGGGATTTCTCTTCTCCTTGCAGGCTCCGTGGTGTGCTAGATTGTCGCTCTCCACTCTCTGTGCCCATGGCTCCCTCCCTCTGGTAGTTCCACTGAGCCCTTGACTTTCCTACCCTCTTGGATGTGAACTTTTCTCTAGAATTGGTGGTGGAGTTTGGCAAGTCTCTGGGGTCCTTTCATAGGCGTTGGCTCTGATACAAGTTATCTGATTGTATCCTCGGGATGAGAGGAGTTTAGAGTCTTCTTACTCTGGTATCTTCCCCGAAGTCTCCCATCAAGTGTATTTTTAATTTCTCTTACTGTGTTTTTCCTCTTTGCTTGGTTCTTTTTTATCTCTTTGTTCAGGAGCTCATGGATGTCCTCCACTCTTTTCCCCAGTCCAGTGAGTACCTTCAGACCATTACTTTAAGTTCTTTATCAGGCACATTACTTCTCTCCATTTCGTTAGCTCTCTTGCCATGATTTTGTCTTGTTCTTTCGTTTGGGACCTACTCCTCTTTCTCATTGTGCCTAACGTGCTGTGTCTTTTTCTCTGTGTTAGCAAAGTGAGCTTAGTTTCTTGCTCTTGAAAGTAGGGGCCTTGTGGCACCTGGGTGGCTCCTTTGGTAAGCATCTGCCTTTCAGGTCATGATCCTGGGGTCCTGGGATCGAACCCCACCTGCTTCTCTCTCTCCCTCTGGCCCTCTCTCTGGCTCGTGTGCTCTCTCAAAAAAAAAAAAAAAAAAAAGCAGCCTTAGGAAGAAGAGGTCCTCTAGCACCCTGCAGGGCCATGTCCCCTATTGGCCAGAGCCTGCTCCTTTGAGGGTGTCTCTGCGTGTTGCAAGTGCCCCGTTGTTGTGGCCCAGCTACATCTGCTTCAGTCCAGTCGCACCTGCAGTGGCTGCCGGTCGTGGGGAGGATTTGGTCCCGGTGGCCATGGTGTGCCAGCCTCGGGCCGCCTCGGGCCTCCTCGGGCTTGAGGGGAGTCAGAACACGGGTTTGCTAGAGCTGCAGTAGCCGCCAACCACAGGTCTCCTCCCTGATCGTCCCCTGAGCAGCTTTCATCGGTGGGTGGGTGGGTCTGCCATCGGACAAGGTTCCTTCCCCCTGCCCACCCCTGTGGTCTGTTGGAGGGGTCTGCGGAGTTAGCTTTCCCTCGCTGTGGGGATTCGGAGTGGTGGTGGCCCTGGATGGGGCTGCTAGCCCCAGTGTGGACGGGCTCCAGCCGAGTGCCGATTGTGGGGGGTGTGGATCTGCCATGTGCTAGGGGGTGGGGGGCAGCTGGGTGGGGGTGTTTGTGAGCAGCTGGTCCTCAGTGGGGGGCGGGGGGGCTGAGGCTGGGGGCTGGGGCAGGGTGCAGGGAGCAGAGGTCAGCGCTGCGCTGTTGCCCAGGCGACGGTGTGCTTATACAGCAGGGAGGCCCTTTGTTCCTAGAGGAGTCTCCCAGCGATCTGTCCCTCTGGGACAGGTGCTAAGATGAGTAGATAACTCTCGTGTCCACCCCGGGCATTTCTCAAACTGCTGCTTCTGCGCTCTATCTCCCTGGGCTGCTGGTTGAGCTGCCTCTTTACTTAAGGGCAGGGCACCATGTCCTGCTGCCTTCCCAGCTCTCCCGGAGCCGAACCTGCTGAGTCCCAAAGCTGCAGATGTTCTGTCCCACTGACTGTTAAGAACTCGAGAAGTTAAGCCTCTCTGGCTTTCTAAGCCAGATGTGAGGGGGACTGGTCTTCCCGCAGGGGGTTCCCTCGGTCTCCGGTGCCCGGGGTGGGTCCGCTCCTCTCTGCGCCCGTGGCCTCCCTCTGGCCTGCAGACAGTGCCCTGGGGCAGTCTGGCTCCCAACCACGTCGGTGGTCCTCCTTCCCCCTTTGATGTGGCCTCTTCTCTCCATTGCTGCACAGAGTCTGCTCGGTCGGCGTTTGCGTCACAGAATGAGCCTCCGGACCTCCTACTCTGCCATCTTCCCGGAAGTCCCGACGGGGGCATTACTGAGTGCGGAGTTCAGGGCAGGCCACCACGACGCCCCCAGCCCCCATCGCCATCCCCGAGTCACCGACTCTGGCCTGTTTTGTTCCGGTTGTGTGGCCCCATCTGGGCCTCAGGGGCACTCTCTGCCTTTAAGGAGGCGGAAGGGAGAATTACCAGTATCTGTGCAATGCAGCCCCCCGGGCGCTCTCCCTCCCTGTCCACGGCCTTCGGGAGCCACACGTAAGCACGGCGGTGAGGCCAACCCAAGGAGGGAGCAGCAACCTTCCTCCTGACGACTTGAGAAGGTCTCACTGGGGCCTGGGGAACCTTGGCTCTAGTTATGACCACGATGTATCTTGGTACCTTCCAGCCGATCACTTCACCCACTGGAGATTATCTTTTACTTGTAGGATGAAGGGGCTAAGACTTGGATTTTTCCAGAGGACCATGTGAGGGGCCATTTCTGGATGAACGAGGAGCTAAGGTAAGACTGCGCGCCAGAACACACATTCACAATGGCGTCGCGCAACACACGTTTCATGTCGCGGTCGCCAGTCGGGAATGGCTGGTCGGGGGGGCCTGGCGTGGTGTGACAGTCCGGGGGCCTGGCTCCTTCCCTGCTGGGGCCCCGCCCACCTTTAAACTGCCAGCTTTGTGAGGTTTCCCAGAAGAGTAGAGCAGAGACACTCACCAGTGCTCCAAATCACGATGATTCAAAAACTTGGTGCTGGAAATTTTTTGGGCCGGGTCTTCGAGTGCCCCGCGTCCCTCCCACCCACATTTCACGGGCCAGAGGTTGGCCACAAGGCCACAGCTAGGCGCGAGGACATCTGGGAAACGTGGTCTAGCTGTGAGGTGAGGAGGAAACACGTTGGCTACACGACCAGCCCGCTGGGCAGAGAGAGCCGTTCGCTGCTTTAAATGGCAGTCCTTCCTGGCTGGCCTTGAATTACCCAAGACTCTGAAACCACGCACTTTCACCTCAACCAGGGCAACCGTGTACAGGAGGGTCCCGCAGTAATGTCACTGAGTGAGGACTGCGGGCTGGATCAGGGAGGGCGTCCAGACCTCCAGCTTTTCCCGGGAGCCCCAGCTCGGTCCTGGGGTCCGGGCATTCCATCCCTCGTTCGGATGACGGATTCAATAATCAGCCAACGGAGGCAGGAAGAGCGCACCGGATTTCGTAAAGATGCAGGATACTGCTGAAGAGAAGCCATACAGCCACTGTTCCATAAAGACAGTATTTTTTTTTTTTTAATTTTTAAAATTCTGCATCTGAAAACACAGTATGACAGAAAGCATCGCTATACACCTGCAGTGTTTTTGGTATGATACAGGATTTAATACATCCACTGGTTTCTGCAAAAAATTTTGCTTTGTCAGACAAACAAACTCCCCTAGACAAAAAAAAAATACAGCTAAGGCACAATTTTGTTGTTTTTCTGCTAAATGAAGATACAGAAAAGGTGCAAAAAATGAGCGGCTAGTGCAATCGCTTCCGAGAGACACGGGCTGCCTCGAGGGAAAGCGTTCGTAGGACCGAAACTTTGATGACTGGTCAATTTCAGATAGTTCAATCTCTTTTAAAATACTCCTTTAAATAAATAGCAAAATATCTACATCTTCCAGTGTGTGCCATTGGAATTCTCTTTTTTTTTAAACTTTATTTACAGATTTTTTTTTTAAATCAATACATTACAAAATAGTTCTGTACAGTTTTATGCATATCATGATCTATAACAAAATAGTTATTTTTAAAAACTATATCACCACATGTCTTTGAAAAAAAAATGGGGGGACAGTAATAACTTATTGTGAGGCCTCTAAAAATACCCAAAACGAACACTACTGACAACATAATATTAAAAACAAAAAAGACGACAGAGAAAGGACTCTAAGGACGGTTGCGCTCAATTCCAGTGAATTTCCTGCGGAAACCCTGGGGGGGTTGTCTTTGGCCTCCGACGGGACCTGGAGCGACGGACCTCGGGAGTGTGATCCCTCGGAGAACAGGACCCATCCGCTGGGAATACGGAACGCTCTCCCTTTCCAGGCAGGAAGGACGGAGAGGGAAATAGAGAAACTCTCCTGATCTACCCCCTGGACGAAGTCCCTCAAGTCCCCAAGCCTCGGGGGGGCGGGGGGACAGGAGCGCAGGTGCTCACCCCCGGCGGGGACGGAAGCCACCCGGGGCCTCGGCAGCGTGCTCGACAGTGACAGCGACAGCATGCTGCACCAGCTGGCAGACGCCAGCCCGCTGGCCCGGCGGGAATCCCCCAGAGGAACGACAGGAGGGTATTTTTTTGAAAGACGACACGTAGAAGCCATTTCTGTAGGTCTGCAGCCTACAGAGGGGCAGCCCCTGGCGGAGGAGGCTGCCGTGGGAGCGCCAGGATGCTCTCGCTTCCAGGATGTTGGTGGAAGTCGGAGGGAGAGGGCAGTCAGCTTTCCAAAAATAATGTTAAGGCCACATTTCAAAAAGGAGAAACCTAAGGCTTTTGGGGGTGGGGGGGAGCAGGGGAGGCGAAGCAGGTGGGAGTGAAATGAGGGATGTTGCAGAGGTGGGGCGCGCGGGGCAGGGGCGGGGGGAGTGTTCCCGGCAGGAGGGAGGGGTGGGGCGGGGAGGGCGGCATGTTCCCTGCGTGGGGCTTGGGGAGGACAGAACCAAAGACAGTGTGAGGGGCAGACACAGGTGGCGCATGAAAGCCCTCCCTCGTCCTAAGCGGGGTCTGTACAGTATCGGGTTGGCCGGGTCACCCAAAACAGAAAAAGAACCAAACAAACTTCAGAGAGAGAGAGAAACCGACACAGAGAGGGAAACAGAGGGAGGGAAATTTGCATAGATTGTATGTTCAACCCAGCACGTTTGGGACACAGAATTATCCCCCCACCCCCGGTAAACTTCTCAGCAGACACGATGAGGTAGCGCCTGTGTGAGACCCATGGGCAGAGTAGGGTGCCCGAGCCGAGGAGGGCGTCCGGGGCCCAGCACAGCTCGGACACGGCGTCCCAAATGGGTGCCAAGGTGGCTGCTCGGACCCGGGACTTGGAGCGAGGCGGGGCTGTTGGATACACCCCTCCTTCCCAGACCGTCCTCCTCCCCTCCCCCTGGGCTGGCGGGAATTCTGGAAGGTGTGGGCTTCCTTAGGACGTGTCTCCAAATTCTTTTTCTTCTTTTTTTTAAGCACCATCTTGGGACCAGGACCACTTCCCAAGCCAGTTCTCCTGGGACACCTCTCCGCGGGACCGTCTCTCCCGGGTGGAACGACAGGTAAGAGGCTCCTGTTCTCCCTTCCGCAGGATCCGCGAAAAGCGCTAGAATTTTTGCCCCTTCCTACTGGTGGCTCATTTCCTCCATCAGGGCATGGCCTGATCTCTGGGTAAACCATCTCCCGCGAGCAGGGGTGGCTGGCCGTGCACAGGATGGATGAACTGTGGATTGCTCTTGGCCCACACTCAGAACCAAAAAAACCCCCATAAAAACAACAAAAACCCACTGCTGCCACTTAATAGTTAAATTTCCTATGGAAATCTGGATCTCTGGCTTCCTTTACCACATGGGAAGATTCTGAAGGCTCACGGACAGCCGAGATGCTGTCTTTGGATGGGCCGTGCACCCCACCGCTCCCTCCTGTCTCACGCCAAGCATATTAGTGTTGGCTACCCCTACCCTAGAGTGTGGCTTTGACCTGGCAGGGCCTGGCCAACAGCTGTGCCTAGTATGCCCGCCCCCCTTGAGTGCTTGTGTCCTGAGTCCCCGGTGGGCTTGGCTGTGTAGGCCGTCTTGAGGAAAGCCCTACCTCCCGCAGCTCCTTGTCTCTACTGGGCACCTCCCTGGCAAAGAGATGGAGGTTCCAGCCTGTGTCGTCCTTGTACCTGTAAACCGGGAGCCAGGAGGCAGCCTGTCCACCCAACCGAGGATGTGCTCAGGAGCTGCAGTCCCTTTGTGGGGGCTTGTGGGGTTTTGATCGTCCTGAGTGCACTGGCCTCTGAGAAGTTAAACTAGCAAGGGGGAAATGAAGCTGGGAGGACTCGTGATCTGACCAGAAAGGTCTCTTTCCAAAGCGAGGAAAGGGCCTCCTTCTTAAACGTGGGGTCTGGGCACTGCTCGTGTCCTCGAGGGAGACTGCTTGTGCCTGACCTGGGCTGTGGGACTCAGGCAGACAGGCTGCCACCCGAGCGTCCCTGGACAGGCTGGCTGGGACATCACAGGGGGTGCTACAGCCTCCTGAATGCTTCCTTCTACCCAGGCTGCCCCCAGGCGCCCAGCTGGTGAGCCAGGGCGGGACTTCAGGCTGTCACTAGGGTTCGTCTCCTGTGCTTGGGTCCAACAGCCCGAGCTCCCGGTGCCTGACCCAGCGGCCTTTCAGGACTCCCTCCCTCTCAGGCAGATACACTGTTAATGTTTACCCCGGGGGGGGGGGGGACCTCACCTTCTCACCAATCCTCCTGGCCTTTGTTTGGAATTCTTTTTTTTTTTTTTTAATAACAAAGTTATTCCCTGGTCAGAAAACAGAAGTCTTTAAAGAAACACTGGGTAGGACTAGCTGACTTCCTTGCCGTGAGCAGGGGGCGGGGGGGGGGGGATCGCGCCCAGAGTAGACCTTCTCTGCTGGCTCTGGGGGTGAGGGAGTGAGGGTGAGCCATGTCGGTGGGTACAGGTGGGCCCCAGGGAGGGGTCTGCAGGGACACCGGACCCAGGCTGGAGCCCCGCACAGGACACCGTGGAAACCACGGGACTCCTGGATTGGAGGGTGATGAGGAAGGCTCCCTGGGTGGGCTGGGGCAGAAGGAGGGGGCAGCCCAGGCTTCTGGGCACCTAGAGTTTGCACGTTCATTGAGCGACGATCCGCCCTTTCTCAGCAAGTGCCCCTGAGGTACCCGGAGCCCCTGTGACATGGGTAGCTCTGGGCATATCTGACCACGCCCCCTCCTGCTGCAGTGGCGCGCTCTGCCTCCCAGGCTCGGAGGCAGGCTCTGCAGTGGGCAGCGGGAATGGCTCAGGAATTCCAACCCCCCCAGGACCGGAGGACCTGCCGAGGCTCCCACCCTGCCTGAGCAAAAGGTAAGGCTCCAGGGTCCCCAGGGGGACCCTGCTTTCGGCCAGCAGATGCAAGCGTTCTCCTCGTGACGTCCGACACCCCTGCTTTCCTCTGAGGGCATGAAGAATGCAGAGCAGACAGGAGAGAGACAGACACACTGGGGATGGAGAGGGAGGCAGGGAGGGTGGGGAAGGGGGGGGGCCTTTCGTGAATGAAGGCAGCTTCAGTTAGTAAGAGACGTAACTGACCAGCTGCAAAAGCAGCACCTACTCATTAGTCATTGACTAAAACATAAATAATAAATACTGAAAGTGTCCCTCCTCCGGCCCCTCCGTGGCCCACAGAACATGTGGCCGGGCAGGGCAGGGGCTCTGGGGTGAGCGCAGGGTGAGGGTCGGGGGTGGGGGTGCTGCGGTACCTTCACACCTGCGCTGCCCGGGAACACGAGGACGGGCTCCCCAGGGCAGGACAGTTGGCAGCTGGGGTCGGCCTTGGCCAAGGAAAGCCTCTCCTGGGGGGAGTGGGGGCTGGAATCAGAGAAGGAAGGGGCCTCAGGTTGGGTTCTCCAGTAGGGCGGGGCTGGCCCTCTGAGGCACACAGCAAGGTCACGGTGCAGGGATCTGGCAACTCAAGCACTTGGAAGAATGCTGTTGTTGAGGTTTGAGCCGATCGGACGCTCAAGCTTCCAGCTTTCCCGCTGCACAGCAGAGGGGCCCACTGGCACCTCCGAGAAGGAAGGGCGTGAATTTGAACACCAAATCTGAAATGCCTGTCCTGGAGGCGAGAAGCCTGGTCCCTCCCCAACCCCCGCCCCGGAATGAGGGTGGGGTGGGGGGGGCCATTCCCAAGGTTGGGTGGGCTTCGCCTCCGTGCGGAAGGCCTCAGGCTGGGACGGGTATTGCTAGGCTATCCGGCTCAGGAGTTGGGTCCCAACCATCTGAGTTTCATGGCCACGGGCCCCAGAGTTCTCCTTGTCCAAGACCCACGAGGTCAGGGTCTTGGTCTCCCAGCCCCTGCACAGATGCTCACATACCTGAGCCTCATTGCCTTTCTGTAGCCTCGTGGGGCAGTCTGGGAGCGAGGCTGGCCTGGAACGCAGACAGCGGGGAACCTCGGCCACGTCCCATCAAAAAGCTCTCCTGCTCATCTAGCTAGTAAGGAGGCCAACTCTAGCCGGACAAGGGCTGGTGGAGGGCTCACCCAGTGCCCTTCCCCTCCAGGGGCGGGAAGATGAGCCCCAGGGCAGGGCTGGAGGTCATGCCCAGGGTCTGGGCAGTGCTCTTCACAGGGGGTTCTGTGGAGCCCTTGGGTTCGGGAGGAGCCTCAGGAGGCGCCCTGGGCAAAGGGACCGCCCAGGGGACTGAGCTTTGACAAAGAACCTCACCCTCCCCAGCTTCAACCCCAGCAGGCTGGATGTCAACCACACCTTGAACTTGTACCTCCAACTGCGCTTCGTAAACAGAATTCTGCTCAAAAGAAAAGTTGGAGAATCACTTGACTGGGGGGAACTGCATCACCGCGGGGGAGGACAAGGAACCTGGAGGCTTCGAGGGCCAACCAGAAGAGGTAAGACCACCACGGCCCCGGGACTGCGCACTCCTCGCCCCCCAGAGCCGGTGGGGGAGGGGGGGCAGGTCGTTGGCAGGAGCTGCCTTGACCTCCGCACCTTCCTGTCCATCGTTCTGTAGCCGGGGGAGCCCCTCTCACAAAAGGCACCCCGGCAGCAGGGGGCCAGGGTCCGGGCGCCACCAGCCCTCGGGCTGCTTTCCCTCCGACATCCGCTGGGGCCCGCACGCGCCCGGTGCTACCTGAGTCGGCCATCGGGTTTGACAGCCCCCAGCTCGGACTTGGGGTCGGGGCTGAAGGAGCTCCAGGCGGTCTGGCTGCAGGTCTGCATGACGGGGCAGGCTGTGGGGCCCGCGGCGCAGACGTCCATGGCGGTCCACATGCCCCCCACCAGCGAGTCCAGCCAGCGCTCCAGTCCTGCGCCCGTGGAGGCCGCGTTCCTCCGGGCCTGCTCCACCTGGGCCGGGCTGATGGGCAGGCTGAGGACGGGGTTCAGGCTCTGGAAGCTCTGCTCCATGTAGGCGCTGCGCGGGGGCCCGTTGTGCAGCTTCAGTGCCTCCTCTGAAAGCCACAGAGGAGGAGGAACGGGTCAGGAGAGTCCCCGAGCAGGCACCGCCCGCGGGCCTCATGGCCGTTGGGGGACACTATCCTGCACGGTGGCCGCAGCCCCGCCGCAGACGAGGACCCGGCCGGCAGGGACACTCCTCCCAGACCCATGAGCCCCCCGGTGCAGGGCACCGTCCACTCGTCTGTCCCCAGAGCAGTCTAGACCGTCCGTCCATTCATTCACATACATTTTCAGCACCGACTTGGTCCAAGGCATTTGTCAACACATACTTGCTAAAACTCCCTCTTCCAGGCATTCATTCATTCACTGGACAAAGCTACAAGGCCAGGCCCCACTCCACCCCCTGGAGTGAGCGGATGTAAGACTACAGCCCTGCGCGGGGAGACGGAGGACGAGCCCTAGAGCAGGTTGTTGCACACGGTGCTCAGGAACCCGGGTGGACTGCACGGGGGCGACTCAGAGCAAGGGCTGCGCACGCTGCGGCCCTCGGGCCAAGGGTGGCCCACGGGGTGCGGTAAATCGAGTAGCGCTGGGACACATGCCGTGCCTCTTGGCGGACCTGCTGTCTGCAGCCAGTTCTGCCGCCAATGCGCTGCGAAGCCCTTGAGACAGAGACCGTGTGTGGCCCGCAAAGCAGGGAAGCTTTACTATGTGGCCCTTTACAGTAAAAGCTTGCTGCCCCCCTGGAGCCAGAGAGGACCGAGGATGTTTATTTTGTGTGAGGGGGTAAGGGAGACCTTGCAGAGGTGCCTCCTGAGCCGAGTGCTGGTTAATGAGACCAGGGAAGCCGCAAGCAGATCATGGCAAACAGAATTCTGGGCAGAAGCGAAGCCTCATTAAAGGACTTTCTGCAAATCACAGAGCTAATGAGAGTCGGAGCCAAGGTTGGAGTCTGGGTCTGTGGATGCACCTCCACCGGCTCTTACCAGCCCGGCTCTGCTGAGCAGCACCTCCCGTGTGAGCCCGTGGGCGGCTGCCGGGGCTCCCGGATCGGGGTCCCCAGGGCTCACGTCCCTGGTGTGTGGCTTCGGATGTCAATGCCGGGTGCCTGCTTTCCTGGATCGTCAGAGGAGTGCAGTACCGAGTACCTCAGAGCTCGGTGATGGTCCCTGTGCTGATTTCTACTAAGTGCTTACAGTGGCGCCTGGCGTTAGTATCCAAGCTAACCTCCACCACTCAACACAAAACCCCAATAATCCAGCTAGAAGTGGGCAGGTGGCCAGCAGACACACGGAAAGACGCTCACCGTCACCCAGCATCAGGGACGCGCAGACCAGAAAGGCAGGGTCCCACCTCCCACCTGTCAGAATGGCGAGAATTTGAAAGACAAGAAGCAACCAGTGTTGGCAAGGACGCAGAGCAAGGGGGACCCTCGCACATGGCTGGTGGGGACTCGAGCTCGCCGTGGAAGACGGTGTGCCGGGGCCTCAGATGGTTCCGAACGAGCGCCCCCAGGCTCCGGCCACCGCTACTGGGTGTTCCTCCGAGACTGTGGATGCACTAACCCGTGAACACGTGCGCACCCCGAGGTTGACTGCAACGTTGTTGACAACAGCCAGCTATGGAGGCGGCCCAAGGGTCCCTCACAGCTGAGCGGGTAAAGAAGATGTGGTGTAGACAGTGGGACAGGTACAGGGTAACAGTACTCCGTACAAACCAGAATGGGACCTTGCATCTAACATCAACGTGGACGGAGACAGAGGAGCTAACGCTAATGGAATTAAGTCAAAGACAAATACCGTAGGATCTCACTCATGTGGCGTTTAAGAAACAGACTCTTAGATGCAGTGAACTGGTGGTTGCCAGAGGAGAGGAGGGTGGCAGGAGGGGCGTGAGAGGTGACGGGCGTTTGGAGCACACGCGCGAGGAGCGCTGGGGTGTGAGGAGTTGCTGAGTCACGGCATCGTGTGCCCGAAACTATGCACGATCGCATGTGACCTGTCCTGTACGCACACGCAGATGGCGCCCGGCAAAGACTGATGCTTGGAAACGTTCAGCCAGAGTTGTTACGGCTGGTGTCATTAGTATTCAACCCTGTACACGCACAGAGCCACGGGGCTGGCGTTATGATACCCATTTTGCAGATGGGGAAACGGGTGGCTATCTCGCCAGACCGATCTGGGGTTAAGCCCGGGACCGGCCGAGTCCAGTCTACTTCCTAGGGCTGACGGGGGGGCGGGGGAGCAGGAAGTGCACACATCTGGGCTGATGGAAAAAAGCTAGCTGTTGTGGAGAAGTTCCCTCCTACTGCCTCTTTCATTGCCAAACGCAAGAAGAGGTTGTAAAAACCTACCGGCCACTGATGAGCCTGGGTTTCAGCCGGTCAGCTCTGGCTCGGGTGAGAGAGCGAGGGCTCGTGGGACAGTGTGGCATTCAGAAACACTTCCCGTTCCCCAGATGGTGGCTGTCCCCCTCGGGGGCAACCAGGACAGCTCTGGTAATCCGCACACTGTTTTCGAGTGTGTGCGGTCCTGAGTGGGGTTTGAGGAAGAGGAGGAAAGACCATACACCCGCCCTAGTGGAACAAACAACATGCTTTCTAAACCTGGCCGCAGCCCGCCTCTCCCTGATGCTGGCAGGGGCGTGGGCAGCTCCCGGATCGCCTTTCTTGAGGACGGAACCTCTCGAGCAGGTTCTGCCTTGTCCATCAGGGAGCCTCTCAGACCCTCCACATTGGCAGAGCTGGCAGTGGGGAGCTACCCGAAGCCACAGAAGGCTGGCCACGCAAAGAGAAGAGAGCAGCTAACAAGCATCGGAACACTGGGAACCAAATATTGTGGCTGATGCAGAAAACCCTTATGAAAAATGAGGTTAATGTGGGAAATGCTATTACGGCACCAGCCCGTGATGCTCGCCTCTATAATTAAATTTTCCTCAATTCCACCTCATCAGATTTCTTGAGATTACCAGGGACACATCGATAGCAAATTACTCTTGATGAATCATTTTACAAATTGCATCGCTCCCACCTTCATGTTCCCTGTCACTGGAACATCGTTAACAGACACAGTCACTGACGGCGGAGGGGGGCTATTCCCAGCAGGGTAAGATGACCCCCGGCTCATCCTGGGCAGGGGTAGGAAGAGCCTTGCCATCTTCAGAAACTCCAAGGAGAGAGAAAAAAAAACTGGAAAAATCAGGACCCGGTGAATGGCCCCAGGGTTTTCTCCCCGCTGGAGTGGAGGACGGCTCCTTTGTTCCGTCTGACAGGTGTATCTGGAGCGAAGAGGAGAAGGTTATTTCTATCCCTCTCCTCTGCGTCTGGCTTGGGGAACTCTCAGGGATGCTAAGGATGGGAACGTCACTGGAGAGCACTTGAGGGCTGGCCCAGCTGGTACGGGAGGGGCTGTCTTTTGGCTGTTTCCCAGGGGAGAAGGGGGAGCAGACTTCCATCTTGAGAAAACACGAGGTATCTTTCTGCTTGCTCAGCCCAGAAACTTAGCAGAGGCCAACAGAGTTCACGTCACACCTGCCCCCCACCCCCTGTTCGAATTCCAGGCAGCCCCTCCCCATGCTTTGTCCCCCTCTCCTTGCGTCACTAGCTAAATGGCACCCAGCCCAGAACTCTTTTTGCCTAATGGAGGCCGTAAGGTGTTTTTGGCTTCTGGGTTTCTGTTACATGTAGACAAACAGTTCCAAATACCAAGGGACCCAGAAATCCTGTTTCTAGGAAACTGTTTAGGGCTGAATCTGTATGGGCACAGACAATCTGAGATTCGAAAATCTTTGCACTGTTGTCCGTAACACCACCACCAACAGAAGAAGCTGTGTGTGCTCATGGCGGGGACAGATGGATTCTGGGTCCTTAACCCAACGGAATAGGAAGAAACAGGTAAACTTCAGACACACGAACTCGGACAAGTCCAAAGAGCAAGTTTCATGACAGAACGTATCACTCCATTTTCAAAAATCAGCCACGTGTGACTTACGTTGTGTGTTCATGTTTATGCTTTGGAAGCCTCCAGAAACCGCTAGAAGGACGAACACCAAAGTTTTGACGGCGGTTCCCCTGGGAGGTAGGACTAAGTGGGGAGGAAGACGTTCCCAGTGATCAGAGGAGGACCCAGAAAAATAGAAGTAAACTCTTCGGGTGAGAAGAGAAAAAGGCGGCAGGCGCCGACAATGCCTCTCTCCCGGCCCTCCCTGCCCAGCGGGAAACACCACCCTGATTTCGCACCAACGACTCTTTTCCTCACGGGTTTCTACGAACACGAGAATCCTCAAGTCAGGAACTGCTGGCTTGGCCTGCTTCTGAACTTTAAATATGTGCACGCTCATTTCGACTTCTCCGGTGACCTGCCCCCCTCAATGTCACGCTGTAGAGACTCACCCAAATCAGCACGTGGAGCCGAGGGGCGCTGGTGTTCCCGGCCATGCCGAGCTCGGCTGTCTGGACAGACCTCACCGGCGTTCAGCCGTCTGAACGAGGGCATCGGGGCCGCTCCTGATTTGGTGCCATTAGGAACAATTCTGCTCTAGGTCTGCACAGGTCTACAGGTCCGTGGGGGCATCCACGGAGCCCTGGGACTTCTGTGTGGCACAGGGGCTGTGCTAAGCCATTTTCCAAACCTGCTTTATCACTCTGCGTCCCCACCAGCAGGAGATGGACAGCTGTCCTCTGGCCTTCTGCCGTATGATACTGTCCAACCTCGGAACATTTCTCAGCAGTAGTGTGAAGTGGGACCTCTTTTTGCTTTCCATTTGCATTTCTCTCATTATTCATGAGGCTGAGCAGCCTTTTATGTGTGTGTGGGCCATTTATGTTCTTTTTTCTCTCTCTCCTTTGTAGCAGGAGTTGGCAATCTTTTTTTTTTTTTTTTTTTTTACAAAGGGCCAGATAATATTTTTGGATTTGTGGGCCATGCAATCTGTGTCACAATTCCTCAGCGCTGCCATTTTGGTCCCAAGTAAACCATGAACGGTCTGTCAATGAATGTGTGTGGCTCCTACTTTAATTACTATTTTTTAAAAAGTAAGATACTGAGTTTCACTCAGATACTGAGTTTCACTCAGTATCTGCCTGGGTATGTTTCCCTTCTTGTCTTAAATATGATCAGGGCTTTCTGGAAGTCCAGTGGGAGAGCAGGTCATAATCAGATATCTAAGAGATGACATCACCTCAGCATACAAGTGGAAAACGAGAAGGTCCTCTATGCAAACAGGCAGGGGGACGTACAGAGTGGAGAGCACTGTTCTCCGAAGCAGCCTCCGTGCCCCGCATGTGAGCAGCACAGCCCTGAGGAGGACCCCAGGGACCCCCAGGATGGAATATCTCCCCCGCAGAGATGCCGGGAGTACTCACCTGGTTTGATAGGCTGCCTGTTGGAGAAGGTCAGCGGAGCAACGAGGAATTTGGTCTCTGCAACTGGCACCCAGTGGTGAAGAATTTTCACTGTCCAGACCCCAGGCCTCAGGGGCAAGTTCAAAGGGGGCTTGTAGTGGGTGAACTCGGCAGTGGATTCAATCAGGATGTCATAGGTGGCTGCGATGATGTTGACAGGGTCCACCCAGATGACAGTCACGGTGACGTTGGGGCCCTTCCCCCATTTCTGCATGCCTACGGGCTCATCCATGGGCCCCAGGAGACCCCCAAAGTTGCGGAAGAGCCGCTCCTTGGCATCCCAGTCAGTGCCGACCTGAAACGAGAGCGAGACCTCAATTCACTGGTCCTGGAGAGACCTAAAATCCTGCTTGTAATACTGCATACACCCATTTTACAGATGAAGAAACCGAGGCTCCCAGTAGTCACCTGCCCAAGACTGCACACACTAGTAAGCAGAAGATCTGGGATTAGGACCTGGTCTGGGGGATTACAAGGCCTGTGGTCCATTCATTAACCCTTAGGGCTCCTGGGCCTGACACAGGGTTAGTGCTTCAGAAAGAAAACCTACCACATGCACTGAATGAACGAACGAATGCTGGCTGGCAGGCCGGCAGGTACAGCTAGTGCTCAGCCTTCGGGTACCGGCATTTCGTGTGATGTTCTGAACTACGAGGCACCCTCTGCCCCTCCTATCATGGGCAGGAGTCCACATGGCTTTCCTAGGAAGACCTAGTTGTGCCCTCCCTACAGCACTCAGAGCTAGACCTCGGGGTGGGGGGTGCCCGTACGAGCCATCCTTCCTGCCGGCCGGCGTGCATGTCTCTGACTTGCTGGGAGTCTGCTCGTGGCTTGTCTGCAGCGTACGTCCGGCCAGGAGCCAGGAAGACCTTGTGAATCGTCCTCTCACCGCTCAGTGCCCCCACGGCTGGCGTCACGGAGCTTTGCGGGTGCCTAGCACGATGCCTGGCACACAGCAGGGCTCCGTATCCGTGGAATCAGCGAGTGAAAGACTCGACAGAAACGGTCGGACCACTCCGGGCCCCGATACTGAGCTCTGCCACCCCTTTCCACCAGTTTAAAGAGGGGTCTGGTCGCCCAGGAGGCTTCAGTGTTTCTGAAGACCCAGCACACGCGGGCACACGGGCAGCTGATGACGAACACACTCGAAGGCTCGCCTGTTCCCGTGGTCTCTCCACGACCAGCCTCTCGGGTGCGTGTGCGCAGGTCGGGGTACGGGGGCCTCCGTACGGAGCCGGCGGGGGTGGCTGACGCTCCGTTCTTGCTGTGAACTCCCGCGTCCGTCCTTTCTCTGGGGCCCGCGTTCACCCCGCGCTTACCGTGGGGCTGGCACAGCGCTGAGCGCTTCGAGGCACCGGCCGGCGTGACTCGCTCAGCTCTGCGAAGGGGGACCCCGTCATCGTCCTCACGTCACAGATGAGAACACCGAGGCTCAGAGCACGTAGGTCCCCTGCCGTGGCCGGTGAGGGGCCCCCAGAGGCTGTGTTCTCACCCACTCTTTTGTGTCAACCTCTCGTTCATCTGACGCCGACGTGCCCGGCGCCTGCTGTCCCCCGGGGCCCCATGGTGCGCTCCGTGGTCCGTCTTTGGACAACCGCTTTCCGACGGGGACGCAGCAGCTGTCCCAGGGAGGGGGCCGAGGCAGGGACTGCGTGAACGTTTCCGCAGGGGCCCCCTGGGGCCGGCGGCCTCACGGCAGGAAGGGACCGGACAGGACTGAGCGAAGAGACGCACGCAGGCGTGAGCAGGATTCCAGCCACGGCCTCCGAGTCTTGGCGAGGTCGCTGAGACCACCCAGTCCCGTCCCTTCCCTACGTGCAACCCTCTTCAGCACCTCAGGATTCTCAAGCCTGGTCTCTGTCCCCTCATCCTGTGAGGTCCGGTCCCTTTCGGTCCCGCTTCATCTCAACCCTTCCTCCTCCTCTCCACTCACCCCTGCTCCGGCGCGTCCGTGAGGACGGTCCACTCCATGAGGAGAGGGACTGCATCTGGCTGGTTGACCCCTGGATCTCTAGTATCTCTAACGCCTAAAGCACGCTGAGCACGTGGCGGGTGCTCAGTCTCTCCTTCCATCCGTCCGTCTGTCCACCCACCCGCTAGACGCGTCATGAACGGTTAGGGGCTGAGCACATGGACATCCCTGTGCCCAAGGTCCATCCCCTGTGGACATCCCCTGCACACACTGGCTTCCCACAGATACTAACAAGTGGAGGAATGGCCACAAAACGAGGGCTCCTTCTTAAAGAAGGGCTTTGTGACCAGTTAGGGGAGGACACTTGGCAACAGTATCCTTGGCAATTCTCTGAGGTCTGAGCTCTAAAAGCGAGACAGCCCAGGTGGAAGCTGGGTAGAGCAGCTGGGAGCAGAGAAGCTGGATCTCATTTCCAATCCTAGGAGAGTGAGCGGAAGGCTCACTGCCACTCCCAAGCGCCAGCAGGGCTGGGGCTGCCTGAGGTGGGGGGGCCCAGATGCTGTCACACCCTCTGGGGCTTTGAGATCTTCTCACAGACTCACTGCAAGTCCACAGCCACTTACTACACAATGATCACTAATCACGTCATGACCGTGTTCAAGGTCACCACGTTGCTCCCCAACTTCAAACCCACTAAAAGTCTCTCACTGTGTTGAAAATACAACCTGAGCTTTTCTCCTGGGCCTTCAAGCTCACTCACATTCTGCACCATTCCCTTAGACCGCTTTTCCACTGCCTTCCCTCTCAGTATGCTCCAGCCACACAGGCCCTGCTGCTCCTTGTGTGTGCCCAGATGCTTCCCAGAGCCTCAGGGCCTTTGCACATGCTCTTCTCGGTCTCTTCTCTCAGAGTGCCCCAGCTCTCCCCGTCACCGGCTCTTTTACAGCTTCCCAAATGAATCCTCCCATTGAAAGTAGTCCCCATTGGCCTTTTCAACCCTCAGCAAAGACAGGAATGAAGTTTGATGTTCTTTAAAATACTTGCCATTAGCTGAAATGCTTTTGTTCATGTATTTGCTCATTCACAGGCTGACTGCCCCACCTGAACTACAATTCCATGGCAACAAGAGCCTGGACTGTGTAGTTCACCATGACCTCTCCTGCTCCCAGTACATCATGAACATCTTTCCTGCAAGCCACTAGCATGGGACTCCCGTGGGATGGAGAAATCCATCTGACCACTCAGTGACACTGGCCACCTGCTCAAAGCCAGGCCCCTGGGCCAGGCCACCACGAGGGGATCCCCTGTGGTTCTTCCCTTCCCTCTTGTCTGATGTGACAGCGTTTGCCTTAAAAACTACTAGGACTTCAGAAAAAAATTGCAAAGTACAAAATTCGGGGCTACATGCCTGCTGGTACTCTGCCAGAGACCTGGACGGTTCTCACATCAAAGTTGCCAGCCCCCCAGTAGGAACCCTCACAAATCACGAGCCACAGAGTGGCCACCCTCATCTGTCACTGCCAGAAGTGCCCCGTGACCCAACAGCTGGCTGAGCAACAGGGAGCGCCCAGCCACCCGGCATCCATCTCGTTAATGGGACGTTAATGTCTTCAACTGGCCGCCTGGGGCCCCAGCGCAGAATCCAACTGGGCTGCTGTCTGACTGCCCCTGACACTGGTCATTCATGGAGGCAGCTCCCATGGCGCCTTGGATCCCGCCAATCCACTTGGATCCTTCACTGAAAATTGAAAATGGCGGCTTCACAAGAAACCCCACTCCATAGGGCAGAGCTGGGCCCGATGGAGCCATGGGCAGCTGGGAAGGGACTAGCACGGACTGCATAAGCCGGTGAAACAGTTCTCCCCTCCAACCCCACTCCTAGCCGATCAAGGTACTCCGTGTTCTAAAACCACACTGATTGCACGTCCCTAACCCAGCAGCCACACTCACGGGGAATGCTGCACTCCGGGGACCAATCACCCCCCCTCCAGCTGCTGGCTGAGACGGGGAAGGCAGGAGTCGGTGCTGGAGTTCGGTAGGAGCCACCCCTCCTCAAGCTGGACCGGCTTCCCCTCCTGCAGCATCATGCCCCCCATCCCCCACAGTGTGCGTGCCATTCGGAAATCGTATGTGGCACCTCCAGATGCCATACGCAGGGAATGCAGCGGTGACCAAGAGGGACACGGTCTCCGCTTTCTGGAGGACAGCTGACAAGTGGTAAGAGAAGTCAACAAGATGATTCTGCACGGCAAATGCTGCAAAAATGACAAGACAGGTGCCAAGTGGAGACTGGAGCTCTGGGAGCATACATGGGTGGGCAGGGAGGGCTGCTCGGAGGGGGCACCATTTGGATTTAGCTCGGAATGACCAAAAAAAGCTGCCCACGTGGACACAGGAAGGGAAGTGTTTTAGGCAGCCGGAACAGCACCTGCCAGGAGACCTCGAGACCAGGTCTGCAGGGGACTGGTGTGACAAGGGTGGTGCTGGGCTAAAAAAAGAACTACACTTCCATCCCAGGGATCTGTGCACTGGTTGGTCTGTCTGTCCATTGGCCACCTGGCCGGCCATCCATCCTCTCATTCACTTAGTGACTGATCTGAATAAAGCCCGGTGCTAGCACCTGGGGAGACAGAGGCACCAGGAAGCATGTGGTTTGTGACCAGAGAGACTGGGCTCCATTTGAGTTCTTCCACTTCCTAGCTATGATCTCAAAAAGTCCCTGGCCCTCCGGAGGCCTCAGTTCTCTAATTTGTACAAGGGGACTAATGCCATCGCTTCGTTAGGAAACTGGTCTGTTCTATGACTAACACAGGCTAAGGAGGGGTCACTGGCCAGGATGAAAAAGGACGAGTACAGATTCTATTGTAAAAAACAGACCCCGGCTCCAGGTCAACTTGGTCCGCAGACACTGGGCACCCTGTGTCGCTCTCCCCTGGCCCCATTTAAGATGCCGGTGCCCGTGCCCGTGGCTGGAGGAGCCTCCCTAGGCGCAGGGCGTGCTATCTTCTGGTCCCCTCCCCCTCCCTCTCCGTCGCCAAGCATCAGACTGGCCAATGGAACCCAGCAGGGCCACTGGAAAAGACCATGGAAGTGCGCCGGTGTCGGCCGTCCCACCTCGGAAAACTGGAGCCTCCCAAAGTCGCTGGGCGGGCTTGCGATCTTGAAGACCTTCTTCGGCATCACCCACGTCTCCAGGGTCTCCAGTTTGCTCACAGCCAGATTAGTAGCGTGATGCTTGATCAAAAAGCCCTGGAAGCGGTCTGCAAGGAAGTAGAGGTGGACGGACGCTGGGTGGCCCATCGGGTAGTACCTGGAACACACAGTCTCCCGTGAGCCCGGGGACGAGGCCTGCAGCACGCAGGTTCACAGCCCCACGCACACCGCCTGCTGACCCCCCAGCCCCGCGCAGGCCCCGTTTTCTCCAGCGCTGACCCCGGGCCTTTGCACCATCCCCGAAAGCTGCTCCCTGGGTATCTCAGATCCCACCACCAACGACTTCCTGGTGACCATCAATGTAAACCTGCTGACTGTACAAGAGCACAAAAAAGAAAGTGAAAATTATTACTTCTGATGCTTCTTCCCCTAGGGGATGTCCGCTCACGGATATTTATCGATCCTCTGGTGCCAGGTACTAGGAAGGGACAATGGTGGCCAGTGATGCCACAGTGATGGATCTCCTCTCAGCCTGATTTTCTATGCAAATTCAGCCTGATTTCCTATGCATATATTTGCATAAATCTTACATGCTTGGGATCATAATATACATACTGGTTATACCCTGCTTTTTGCTTCACAGTATTTCCCGAGCATTATCACATGCCTTTCAAAAGTCTCCGAAAACCCGATTTTGGTGAGTGTGCGCACACCCCGCCCCAGTGTGTGCCATGCCGTATTTCACAGAGCCAGTTCACTGGATGCTTAACAATTTTTTTTTTTTTTTTGGCTTTTCTAAACAATCCACTAAACATCTTTGAGGAAAACTATTTTGGAGGACGTCTCTTCTCTCCCCTCCGACAGGTTCTCACGTCTGCCGTCCACCTTTATCAGAAATGTACTGAGTCATGCTCACAGTGTCCTCACCAACAGCATTGGGTCTGATCCTTAAAAATTACTGCCCATCTGAGACACACACACACGCATGCACACACACGTAGCTCATTAGGATACAAGCCTTTGACACCCCCTGTCTCGCTGGCTGAAGGGGGCAGGGGAGGAAAAGCAGGAGAGCTTGTCATGGGAGTCAAAACAAGAAAGAGGTTCCGGAAGGGAGTGGTCAGTTGCATTGGGAGCTGTTGAGGGGTCAAGTAAATGAGCCAAAGTCAAGCACTCTGGAAGTCCAGGAGTTAAGGTCTCTGATGGCTTGCTTTCTCTTACTTTTTCTGTCAAGAAATCTGTTGTCCCCACCTGCCTCCATCCTTTCCTCTCCTCAGGCACCGCCACAATCCTGGTCCAAGCCACCATCGTGCCTCACCTGGACCTTTCTAGGACCTTCCTTACTTGTCCCCACCTACGTTGTCTGCTGTCACCTGTTCCTAGTAGCCACATCCACTGTCCACTGCTTGAATACCACAAGCGGTTTGCTTAACGCTTGTGGTAAAATCTAAACGCCCCACCTGTCTACAAAGTCCTGCCTCTTCCTCTAGCCTTGTTTTGGTTCACTTTGCCCCAAACTCCTACCTCCCAGCCACATGGATTTTCTTTTGGATTCTTGAACATGCTAAAAGCTCATTTCTACCTCAGGACCTTTGTACAGGATATTCTCCTTGCTGGGGATGCTCTTCTCCTTTTCCGTTGCGTGCCTGGCTGTGTATTACCATCTGCATCAATGTCACTGTCCCAAGAGAGTTCTTCCTTGACCACTGAATCTTACGTCACTGACTCACTGCTGTCGGGTGGCTCTACCTTCATCCTCGGCAAAGCCTTCACTCTTACCAATCTTTTGTTTTTCCTTACATGTGCTTAGGTCCTGTCTTTACACTAGAACAGGAAAGCCTTGAACTCAGAGGCCTGCTCTGTCTGGGTCACAGCTGAGCACCCAGTGCCTAACAGAGCCTGACACGTGGTAGATGCTCAATCAATACATGCTGATTGCGTGAAAATCTAGAAGGATTTCCTCTTGGACCTTTTGCTTCTAAAGTGCACGTAGGGCACAGGTCACCCAGGACTGAATGCAAAGTCCTCTGATACTTCCTCTTGACCGGATACAGCACTTAAGCCATTACAATGAAGACCAGAGGTGGTTTTAATTAATTCGCCACAATACAGTGTAACCTAGAGGCTGCCACAGATGCATCCACTTGGCCCAAAGGTGTCTAGATAAGGTGGGCACTGAAAAACTCAGATTCACCCGAAAATCTGGACTTCTAATTTCTCTTGAAAAATCAGGAGACCCGTTGGCAGCTTCAAGTCTCTAATTCCCTTAGAGCAAGAATGTGCTGGAGCTCAGAACCAGGGCCCATGGGGCCTCCAGACTGGCCCAGTCATCCCACCCTGCAGGGGTGAGCCCTGCTGCCTGCCTGGCCTGGGACGGCATCTGAGGACTTCGAGCCCCCCTATTAAAACATGGACAGCCTTATCTCTGGATGGTGGCTCAAAAGCAAAGTTGTTTTTTTTTTTTCTTTTTTTCGTTTTGGTTCTCTCAGTCTGCCATTTCAAAAATTCCTGCACTGAACATGTGTTATTTTATAATGAGAAAAAAATCAATAAACATTATTTTTACGAAAGGTTATACTATAGACTGGAAAGCAATTTGTATGAAATGCCCCGAGGAAGTGAGACTCCCTCTCGAAGTAAAGTTTTCCCTTGCTATCTCCCCAGACACCCTAGGGGCAGGAATTCACTCTTTTGCGTTTTGGGATAAGGGTCCTTTGTCCTGATTTATTTGCAGGCACATATCCATAAATATACCGGCTTTGCCCACAGCAAGGCACAATGGTTCTATTATAATGAAAAATGAGGTAGAAGCCAAAGGCTTCTAGGCCTCAGGCAACTTGATGGCTTGTTTAATCCCAAAACAAATACCAGAAGAAATTTTCAACAACCCTAAATAAATTGGGGTGTCTTTTGGAATTTCATATATATGGTCATTTACCTTATAAATTCTGTAAAGTCTGGGACTACAACTGTTCGTGAACAACATTCACCTCCCAAGCGTGGGGCACGTGTTACCTACAGCGATGCACGCGGTTGCTCTGTGGGCCAGGATTCTGTCCCTGACTAGCAGAAGGGAAAGACACTCGTGGATGACCCTGACCCCTGGCACTGTAGCTATCTGCCATGGGAGTGCTGGAGGAAGTCTGAGCTCCTTTCAGCTTGGGAGGGGGAGCCCCAGGAGCTTCCCAGAGGATTTGGCACTGGAGCTGACCTTTAACGAGTGGGGAAGGGTGGGCTGCACAGAGACCCTGCAGAGCAAGGGGAAACAGGGACAGTCAGGAAACAGAGACAGAGAAACAGAGACAGGAAACAGGAAACAGAAACAGAGACAGGAAACAGAGGATCAGTTCACACCACCGGTCAGGGAGCGTGCAGTTCCCAAACCCGGCTCACTGTTGACTGCTTGTGACAACTTCACGGTAACACAACGGAGATATCCACAGGGACACGCGCACTTACTGAGCACTTAGCATGTAAAACACTGTTAACACAGGGATGACACTAACAGTAACACGTAACTCATACGGCAGTGTTTGAAGATGGTCTTTGTTAAAACCCACATCACCGTATGCTATGAGGCTTATTACTACTGCACCCATCTTACAGATGAGGGAATGAGGCACGGAGAGGTTAATGGCTTGTCCAAGGTCAACAGGTAGTAAAGTACAGTCCTGGCTTTTTAACTCGCCCTGGTCTCCCTTCAAACCAGACTAGAACCTGCCGGGAGAGGAGCAGAAGTCCGAGGCCCGGAGGATGGAATGAGTGGAAGCCGGCTTGCCGTAGCCCCACAGCCCGGCTGACTACACACTGGACACCGGGCGGACACTTTGCCGTGTTTTCAGGCTTTTAGGGAACAAAATGGTTCCTCTTTCTTCTCTGTCCACTCCCCAGAAGAGGGAAGAGGAGGGCAAGGAGGGACACCAGGGGAGGCCTCAGTGTAGACAAGGGTGTGGCTCAAAAAACAAACAAAACAAAACAAAGCAGGTTTTCTCTTTGCTGTTGAAAGAGGAGAACAAGAGGAGGAGAATGATTAGAGGCACTTCTGGGAATCCATCCTAAGGAAATAATCAGGAGAAGGAAAGGAAAAGAAAGAGGCTTCTGCACAAAGATCGTCATCAGAGCATTGTTTACAATGGTCCATTACTGACAATGCAACAGGGAAGGACTGGATTAGGCAAACTCTGGAATCCTTGCAGGCATCGAAAAGGCTCATTATCATTAGGGAAGCTGCAGAGCGGCGTGGGGAAAGGGGACTAATGTTACAACGAATAAAAAAAAAAGGACTCAAATTCTTACTGCATTATGTAAATACCCGCAGTGCATACTGCTGTAGGGAAGAGAAGGGACACAAGATGATAAGGGCTAGCTGGCTGGCTTAGGGAAGGCGGGGTGGAGGGTGACGGTGGACTGCTGTCCTACGTCCCCCTCTCCTTTCTGTGCATTCTAGGACACTCTTAAAGTGTCAGCTGGTACGCGCTAGTTGGGGGTGAGATGACTCTAAGGGATCCCGGAACGTCTTAAATAATAGGTCTGCATTTTAACAATGTTTCTGGTTATATTTTTAGGTTGGCCAACCACAGTATGGCTGCGTTTTAGAAAGGAGCCTTTATTTTTCAGAGATATGTATTAAAATACTCGTGGCTCAGATGAGAGGCCGTCTGGGCTTTGCTTCCTCCAAACTGATCTGGAAGGAGGGCTAAGTGGGCCTGGAGCTAGAAATCGCTAGAACTGGGTGTTGAGGGTAAGAATATGAAATACTACTATTTCATAGTATTTGACATTCTCTGTAAGAAAAATTAAACAAACCAAAGGTCTGTATTTTCATGGTTCCCATCCATCTAAGGCAAACACGACTAATTAATGGGGACAGAAAGCTTCCTTCTCAGATACACAGACTTAGCATGAAGAACGCGTGCACCGCCAGGACACAGGTAAACGGGAGACCCTGGTGTTCCGCGCGGGTAGTCGTGGGACCGTGGCTTAGAGTGGACGGACTGGAGCTCGGACCACTGGGACGGTTCGGATGCTTTTTAGGTCACGGAAGACAGGGAGAAGCACGCCACTACCCCCTCCCCCGCCCTGGCTCCCTCCTTCCCGTGCTGTGCGCCCCTCCTGCACCCCGGAGCCTGCCCATCCTGCCCTTCCCCTGCCCCCTCGCCACCCCCACGGGCTCACCGGCAGCTGCTCTCCCCCGACACGTGCAGCGACGACTCGGCCCGTCGGAGGCCCAGGCGGGCGAAGGCGTGATACAAGGTAAGCGCCACGTCGCTCAGGCTGTGGGTGCCGTCCGGCTCGTCGTACACGTTCTCCCAGTAGGAGCGGAGTCCTGGGGTGCCCGCGGGGTAGTTCCCGTACAGGTAATAGTCCAGCTGCCCGATGATTTCCTGATTCACCACGGCTTCAAATTTTCGGGCAAAGAAGGTTGGCCTGGCTGTCTGCTGTGCTCGGGGCGGGGAATAAAGAGCACTGTCGGCAAGCGGGGGTTTTAGGAGCAGGGCTCTCTGCCGCCAGCCTGTTCGGACCCAAATCCCAGTTCTGACACTTACTAATCTCTGTCCTCAGTGTCCTCGTTGTAACATGGAGATAAGGAGAGGTTTGATGGGACTGAGTGAATTGTTTGTAGAGCACTTAAAGCAGTGGTGGGCACACAGTCAGCGTCATTTAAATGCCCATTAAATAAATGACCTCCTAGATGTTTAGAGCGGAGATAGATCTCAGAAATCATTTAGCTGGAGGTCCAGGGCAAGTACAGCCCACGGATATATTTCAGTTGTCCAGCAGAGTGTTTGAAAGTTGAATTAGCTGGCAACAGTTAAAAGGTACCAGAGTTCACAGAAACAACTTCTGGCTTCCATTTAAGCAGAAATAGACCTGGCAACCCCAGGCCCATGTTCCTAGACAGGAACGATGGGCTGAAGCTGAGGGGAAGCTGCCCCTGTAGATGGGCACGGACGCTTCCGCTCACCTCAGTCCCCACTACTCCCTGTTGCCTCATGGGCATTGCTGCTGATTTAGAGACTCATAAGGAACGTCCCAGATGTACTGGTTGGAGTGTCTGCAAGGGGCGCTTAGGAATCTACATTCTTAACAGGTTTTGGGGGGATTCGTTTGCTGAGGTTTGAAGAAATGTAAGTGACACCGGAACCGGGGCTGCACACCACCACCAACTGAATAGCTTTAAAAAAAAATCCAGATTCTGGGGGCACTTGGGGGGCTCAGTGGGTTAAGTGTCAGACTCTTGATTTTGGCTCAGGTCATGGTCTCAGGGTCGTGAGATCGAGCCCTGCGTTGGGCTCTGCACTGTACAAGAAACCTGCTTACAAGTTTCTCTCTCCATCTCCCTCTGGTCCTCCGCCACCTCCCACTCTGAAGAAAAAGAAAATTCGGATTCTGGAGTCCTTCCCCAAGACCTATGGAGTCAACATCCCTGGAAATGAGGTTTAGGAATCTATAACCAAAAAAGTTTCCCAGGTGATCATGAGGACCACTTAGGTAAACCAAGTTTTCAAGGAAAGAGAGGCCCAAAGAGGGCAAGGGACTTATCCACCCTGCGTCATGTCACCGCCTCGCACTCTTCCATCAGCTCTGCGAAGCAGGCCTCATGACCCCATTTTACGTATAAGGAAACTGAGCTCAGAAAGGGGAAGTGACGGATACAAACTCACACATGCGCAGGATTCGAACCGTCTGATGACTCAAGCCCCATCTCTTTCTACTGCCTTATCCCAGGACTGAGCTGCTGAGTAAACAAACATCCTTGGTATTATGCTGAACATCTCCTCGCCTTCCTGCTTTATGAACCCTATGGTGGCCTGTGGATAATATTTAATAATATTCTAGCCCTCTCTGTGGTGGAGGGTCAGAATTCAGTTCCCTTGCAGCAGCGCTGAAAGAGACCACTTGGGTTCACATCCTTACTCTGCTACTTTCTAGGTGTAGAGGTCTTTGGGGAAATCACCCACGGCCTCAGCTTCCTCATCACTGAAATGGGAATCATCACAGAGCTACTCAGCATAGAGTCTGGCGCACAGGGTCATCTGCTATTAGGATCTACTGTCACTACCACCTGAAGCCTGCACCAAGGGGCTTCGTGTTCTGGGGGCAGAGAAGTGGACTCGGGGGCCAGGCAGCCTCTGTTCTCTGCTTGTGATTATTCACAGCTGGATCTCCTAAAAGGGTACATGTCTATATTTACCACTCTTCTTCGAACAAGAACTCTGGGTTCCTTACAAGCAGCAGTTTCTTGCATCTAGATGTGGAGGGATATTCTGGATCTTTGTTTACCAGGAAAGAAAGAGCTGGGAGCACGTGCGAGGTCTCTGTGTTGGCCTGTCTTTGTACCAGAGACCACGATGTCCCCGGGAGGCTTGGGGCTAAATGCAAAGGCTGCCCAGCCAGGAGGCAATGCTCTCCAGAACCACCCACCTGCTTGCTCTAAATGATGAAGGTTCTTTGCCTCAAGGGCAACAACTGGTTCTCTACAAAACCAGGAATCTTTTTTTTTTTTTTCCTTTTTGCCTTTTGAATAGGTCAAATACTTCCCCTGCCACACTCTTTCTGCTCAGCGGATCCTTTCTGCATAGACAAAGGCATGAAATGTCACCCAAGTTCATACCTAAATTAACACGGGTTTGAGGAGGTCCATGGGTAGCTCTTAATCTGCGATCAAAAATAGGCCTAAAGAAATACTTATGGCAGCAACCGCTGACAGGGGTGCGAGACGTCAGATGGGCACCTGAAGGGAAACTGAATAACGAGAGGACACCTGCTGTGTGTTCTGCACCTGTGTAGGCACAGAACCAGGGTGGCCACGGGATCTGGGGGAAAAAGCCCAGGGCTGCAGCTGGATGCACCTGGGAGGGACCCCCAGCCCTACCACTCCACTGTGTGTTGAAGGACAAGAAAGTTTGCCCCTCTGTGCCTCAGTTTTCCCAGCTTCACCATGGGGATGTTGCCTGCCCCAGGGAAGCCAACGCCCACAGAGTGTCTGGCACACAGCCTGGGGACAGAAGAGACTCCTACCCCATGCTTCTCTAATATAAGGAACCTCCCAGTCACTTGGAGAATCTTATTTATATGCAGATTCTGACCGAGCACTTGGGGGTGGGGGGCAGAGATACTGTACTTCTAACAAGCTCCTTGGTGAGGCTGAGGCGGATGGTCTGCGGACCACATGCCCAGGAGAGAAGCCAGGCTCAGAGACAAGAAGCTCCATTTGGGCAGCCCGTGCCCTCCTCCGGAGGGTTCTGTTACTTGCTGGACTGAGTCGGTGGGGGCACCTCAGCCTGGCTTCTCGACCTGCCCTGTGGCTCCCTGCCGCCCTCTGGGCTACTGCTTGGGGAAGAAGTATGCCCTCTCCACATGGTGGGTCTTGTGACCTCAGAGCGATGTGTCTAACCATTCTGGGGCTTCCTGTCTGTGCTCTCCGCAGCAGGGGTGAGGGCATGGTGGAGGGGAAGAGGAGGGAGAGCCTCAGGGTACTGGCCTACAGGGTGCAGGAGGGGCAGTCCCACGGGATGGAGAGAGGTTGCCATCCCAAACAAGTCTGGGGACCAAGACATCCTCGAGGCTCATGGAAGGTGAAACACTGACCACCCCTTGCCCTTTGCTCTCCCCAAAACCGTAAATGGCCAGGCCACACAGAGACACTGAGATAGTACTAACGCTTCTACCTCCTCTTCCTCCTTTACGTCCACAGAGCAAGGTGGTTTCCAAATATGGCTGCTCATCAGAATTTTCTAGAGTCTAACATGTTTAAAATAAAAATTCCCAGACTTTACCAGAGACTAGCAGTTCTTAACTGGGGGTGAGTTTGCCTCCAGGGGACATGTGGCAATGTCTAAAGCCACTTCTGGTCATCACAACTGGAGCGTGCTACCAGATCAAGTGGCCAGAACCAAGGACGCTGACCACGCAGCGAGGCACAGGACGGTGCCCCCTGCGGCAGAGACTGACCCAGCCGCCATGTTAAGATTGCTGAGGAGAAGCTCTGCCCCAGGCACACTGAACTTTGTATTTCAGGGGACTGATTGAAAGGCAGCACGGAGAAATGGACATGGAAACATACATTGCCTGAATGACCTCAAACAAGTTTTTTGACCCTTCTGTCCCTCAGTTTCTCCATCTCTAAAACAGATAAACAATAACACTGTCTCTATGTACCCATCTAAGCTTGATGGTGGGTGGGTGGGGTTCACGCATCAATACAGGCCAAATGCTTAGAGCTGCTCCAGCATGGGGGGGGGTGGGGGGCGACGAACGGCGAGCCCTGCTCTGGCCGTCACCGCTACTGCCAGCAGCCAGGGCCGGACACCATGGCACAAGATGCCACACCAGCCAGGCCTCGGATGACCGCCAACACTGGCCGAGAGGTGTGGGGGCGGGGCTGAGGGCTCACCTGGAAGCGGTGGAAGTCCTGCGGCTTGAAGTCGTTGGGCGAGCAGCCGCACCAGTCCACGATGTGCTTGTACTGGCACTTGCAGCCCAGCTTCCGGTTCCAGTTGGTGATGCGCAGGTTGTTGTCCACCATCGTGTCACAGTGGGGGCTGTTCTCCAGGACCGTGTGGAAGAAGGACTGCAAAGGAGAGAGGGAAGGAACCGGCCTGAGGCCTCCTCCGGCCTCCCTCCCCAGCACCACGGGACTGTACAGGGACTCTCTCGGGAGGCTCCTCGGTCATCTCTGCAAAGGGTGTAGCCACCACCTGGTCCGACTCAGGGCACATGGGATGTTTGGTCCAGAGTGGCTGAATTCTGCTTGGGAGACCAACGCTCCAGGTGTTTCTCTAAACTCTCTTTCCCCAGCAGTCTACAATCTGATTTCAAGATGTTTCTTATCATTCAGGACATCTTCTGTCTGCCTGGCAGAGAGAAAAAGTCCCTCCGGTCACGTCCACACATGGGAACCACAGGAAACATGTGACAGTTTTCTAGAAATCCTGGGCCAATAGGGCTCGTGCTTTGCAAACAGTCTGACACCAAAGGGACTCCAGTCTGAGATATCTTGAGAACAAAGACTGATGCTCTGGCATTTCACCCCTGGGTAAGGGAAGCCAGATTAACGGGTGTAGCAGTCCCAGGGCTGAAAGGTTGTCCCAGGCACCCCTCCTGCTTTCCAGCACAGGGAGGGGCGGGCCAGGGCTGCTTGCTGTCCATGGTGCTGAACCAGGCTTCACGGGTCTCTGCTAACCCTAAGACTCTTGGCCTATCTCTCCTAAGAATCTGAGAAAGAAGCAACGCTGAGAGTGGAGAAAGAGACCAGAGACGAGAAACATGGTTGTAGCTTCTGAGAGAGAGAGACAGAGACAGACAGACAGACAGGCAGGCAGGCAGACAGACTTCTAGTTGGACACTATTTTATAACAACCCCAGATATGAGGCAGATACATTCTGCCCTGATCTCTGCTCCCTCAGGGAAGCTGTTGGGGGATACGAGTCTGCCTGTGACAAATTTATGGCTCAGCCTTTAGATTTATTCTAAAGTGGTTTCCTGGTGGTGGTCTGGGAGAAAGGAAGGCACAGCAGGGATGCTGGGGTATGAAGCGCCCGTATGCTGGGGCGGGGCTATGACGGAGAGAGCCAGCATCGGGATGCGCATCTTGATTAAAACAACCAGAGCCCCACACGGTCTCTTCTCAATGGGTGGATGGGCAAATCGAGGTTCCACGCTCCCCCTCCAACCTCCCTCCCTGTGCTGCTAAATGACATATGCCTGTGAACCTGGATTTTAAGCTTGAATTGTCTACAAGCCCACAGAGGCACATATTATCCATCAAGCGGTGGGGAAAAGTTCCCAATTACCGATTGCCCTGTGTCCTTTCATAATGATACGGAAATTCCCTGTGAGATAATGGATGAGGAGGTTATCGGCATTGAGAGAAAAGGTGATTTTCGTGGAAATAGGATTAAAAGCTGATTACCGAATGTGTGTGCAGAATAGTAAACCTGGGCCTAGTGATGACAAGCTCATCATCCCTCTGGAGTGATGTGGGCGGTCAGCCCTACCAGCTTGGCACTGCCCCAGATGTTGGTGAGGGATGTGGGAACCATCAAATGTTGTCTCATCTGGCCTAGAAACGCAGCCTGAACCTGGGGCACCACCCGGAGGAAATGGTAGTAGACCATTCATGCGAGGTGTCACGGGCTCAAGAGATGTGCCACCAGCTCTGGAGTTTTCTGAAGTCAGAAACTGGGATGGAAGCGAATCGGAGGTCAGAGCAGGTCTGAGAAGAAGGCTGCTGGCCTGTCAGTGGCGCCATTTCAGAACTGGGTCCCCACTACTTCTGGATGGAGCTGGGGACTGTTTCCGAACAGTCTGCAACCCTGTGCAACTGGGCTTCTGCAATGGACTGCATGTTTCTGGCTCGTCCGAGACCCATGGGTTGAAATCCCAGCCCCATGATGTGAGTGTTAGGAGGTGAGGGCCTCTGGGAGGTGATTAGACGAGAAGGGTGGAAACCTCATGAATGGGATTCATGCCCAGATAAAAGGGGCCCCAGAGAGCTCCCTCGTCCCTTGGGGCATATGAACAGCCGGTAGCAGTCTGCAGCCTGGAACAGGGCCCTCCCTAGAAACCGACCACTCTCATACCCCGACCTCAGACTTACAGCCTTCAGAACTGTGAGAAGTAAATTCTTGTTGTGTATAAGTCACCTACTCTGTGGTACTTCATTATAGCAGTTTGAACTAAGACACCTTCCCCGCACTGAGTCTGAAAAGTGGTGACAGGCTCCCTGGAGCTTTTCAAATGCTTCTAAAAGTCATCAGGAAATGCTGCGTCCCAATGGCTGTCAGTATGGGGGCTAGTGCAGGTCCAGCAGAAGCCCTGGCTTTGTCTTTAGAATCACTGGAATTTCCATTTGTGAATGAAGAAGCCAACATTACCGTCTATCTGTCAGGGAATGACAGACAAATACTCAAAATTAGAAAAGGTATTCTTGTTGAAAAAGTGGGTATTACAGGATTGATGACGGTGAAGGATCTGTCAAAAGGTTATGTGGGTATGTCCTGAAAAATCCAGCACATACAGTTGCGCAGGCCACATACTGCACAACCCTAGTGGGGCACCATCAACATGGTAAGTATAAGAGGTTTTTTCTTTCTTTCTTTCTTCCTTTCTTTCTTTCCTTCCTTCCTTCTTTCCTTTCTTTCCTTCTTTCTTTCTTTCCTTCCTTCCTTCTTTCTTTCCTTCTTTCTTTCCTTCCTTCCTTCTTTCTTTCCTTCTTTCTTTCTTTCCTTCCTTCCTTCCTTCCTTCTTTCTTTCTTTCTTTCAACAAAAGTTTTGTGGAAAGTGTCAGTGAAGTGTCCTGTTCTAACAAAATCAGTATATCATGATGATTTTTACGATGAATGGGACCCAAGTGTCTTAAGGAAGGACTGCCCTTTCTACTTTGCACAAAGATGCCATGGAACTGCTGGTGGCGGTGTCGTGAGTCTGTGTATTCCACACACCCACCCTGCAGACCGGAGGGGGACCGGGGACCTGCTATGACAGCAAGGACTAGTTCTCCACCTTCATCTGGCTGTTTGGAGGACTACGTACCGGACCCAGCATGGCTTTGCCAAACCTTCCGCCAAAATTCAGCTTCCGTGTTGCTCCAAAGGCTAGAGCCAGCCCCCACCCTGCTCGGGGACTTTTCCCCTACACAACTCACCTCAGCAGGAAGCAGGGTGTAGGAGTAAAACTGCTTCATCTTGGTCACCAGATCGTCTGTGGAGAAGGTCACGTACTCCACAAACTTCCGGTTCAGCAGGAACCAATCGGAACCTCCATCCACAGCAATGCCCTCTGGGATTCGCCGGTCCCCCAGGCGCCACATGTGGGCGTCACACTCCAGGAAGAGCCGGTCCAGACCCTGCTTTCGGATGAACCTGGGAAAGACAGAGTCGCCCTTCAGCCCAAAGGTGCACAGAATCCAAATGAAATAGCATAATCAGGGCAATAAATGCATATATTGGGCATTTGTGCCCAATATGTACTGTATGCCAGGGATCGAGCCAGGGAGGGGCTCTGTATATAGCTTCTCCCCTGTTCTTCTGAAGTGAGACAGGTCACTATACCCCTATGAGGCGGGCACTGCCATTATGCCCATTTTACAGCTGAGGACCCCAAGGCTTAGAACATTCAAGGGATTTGACGGCACAAGAACAGTGCAATGACCACCTGCTTCCGCCTTTGCAGAACTTTCGGAAATCACCTTTTCGTGCCACGAATGCCTCGGCAGTTGGGCGATCACAGCCTCTGGCTGTTCACCTCGGAATCATGCTCTTAAAGGCACACCTCAAAACAGGCAGGATTATGTCTCTTTGACAAACACCAAAGTTACGATCCACTAATTTGTGTGCTTTGGATTCACACATTAAATACAGGATCACAGAAGATTTTTAAAAAACACTGCATTTGGGGTGCCTGGGTGGCTCAGTGGGTTAAAGCCTCTGCCTTCACCTCGGGTCATGATCTCAGGGTCCTGGGATCGAGCCCCGCATCGGGCTCTCTGCTCAGCAGGGAGCCTGCTTCCCCCCCTCTCTCTCTGCCTACTTGTGATCTTTCTCTCTGTCAAATAGATAAATAAAAATCTTAAAAAAAAACATTGCATTTATGATAACCACGTGTATTTCTTTTTTGAACACATGAGATAACACAATCTCACGGTGGATCTAATAACTACCGTAATTTTGCAGAAGGGGTGAGCATAAGTGACACTTAGAGGTATATGCACGACCCTAATGTGGTATGAAAATCTGTGACTCCTAATGGCTACGACTAATGCTGTTGTGGTGTGTTACCTCTATTTAGCTGGATTTTAATTAGAGTTTAGTGAAAACCAAGATAATTCTCTTCCCAGCTGAAGTTATGAACTCTTGAGTTCTCTCCATGAACCCCAGAGTAGTAACTCCTATTCTAGACTCTGTGTGTGTGTGTGTGTGTGTGTGTGTGTGTGTATTTGGGATTTGCAATGCAGGCAGAGCAGAACTGGTACTTCCTATTTTGTAGTTGCAGAAACCAAAGATCAAAGGACTGGTAAAGCCAGAGGTGTTGGGAGCATGGGCAGAACTAGAACCAAGCCTTCTGGCGCGAACCCTCAGCTCCTCTGCTGTTACTGGGAACTGCACACCTACTGTGCTGGCCTGGTGTGGGGCGGGACGGACCAGAAGGAAGGATGTTCCTGCTCCTCAAAGGCTAGTTATCAGTCTGGGAGCCTGCTCCCGAGAGTTCTCCTGACCCAGGGAGTTCGCTGCTTCTCCAGCTCATACAACAGAAGATCAACCATTTTAATGTGTACAATTCCGTGGCATTTGTACATACATGATGCTGGGGTATGTAGTTTCAAAATATTTCAGCACACACACCCCCCCCCCACCCACCGTGCAAGGAGACCCTATACCCATAAGCAGTCACTCTCCCCATCCCTCTGCCTTCTGGAAACCACCGATCTGTTTTCTGCATTCATGGGTTTACTTATGCTGGACACGTCAGAGAGAGTGAGGCAGACGATATGCGGCCTGTTTGTATTTGCCTTCCTCCCCCAACGTAATGCTTTCAAGGCTACATCACGAGTTTCTGTCTATCCAGCATCCACTCCTCAGTTTTCTGGGAGGCATATCTTAGTCGTTCCTCAGACAGTCACCTATCTCCGACTCTCGGCTGGCTTGGATTGGCGCCCCATGCCCAGCACCAGGGGTGGTGACATGACCAGGCTGGTCAGTGAGGGCTCTCCATCTGCCCAGCTGCCGTAACTGGTTCAGGGATGGGTGAGGAACTCAAGGTAAGTCTGACATCGGGCTCCTGGATTTTTGCTGGATCTACCAGGAAGGAGGATGGCATTTTTGCTGGGAGAATGTCAGTCTAGCGCTGCTGGCAGCCATCCTGTAACCATGAGTATAAAGCTGTTTGTCAGTGGAAGTAATACAGAAACAGGGAGCGGGAAGGAGAGAGGGGGAGAGGGAGAGTGAAATAGGGGAGGGGAGGAGTAGGAGCAGAGGAGCAGGGAGAGAGAGAGGGATTAAGTCTTAGTGACTTGGCTTGAGACCCGGGATCCCACTATGCGTGACTCACCACCAGACTCATCAGTAATGTGCTTAGGGCACGTGGAGATGGGATTCTGTCACTTGAAGTTGAAAAAGTCCTAATACATTCCTGAACAATTTAAACTTTTATCACTACCAGGATGGATATGAATGTTGTCAGGCCCCAGAGAGAGCAGGCAGCCAGGCTGTGGCACACTAAGACTTCTCTTCCACTAATCCAGTCCACATCCCTTGTCACATGTCTACAGGCCTTTGCACCTCTGTGGCAGACCTCATCACTGTCTTCAGATGGGAGTTACCAGTCTCCCCCCAGGTAGACTCTGCTCTCATTAGCAATGACCTTGGATTCCTCCTTTCTGCCTTCCTCACAGTTCCTAGGATAGTGCAACGCAGTAACTCAGGAAAGGTCTATTTTTTTTTAAAGCCCCATCTTATTTCTTTGAGAGAGAGAGAGAGAGAGACAGAGTGCAAGCAAGCAGGGGGAGGAGCAAGGGAGAGGGAGAGAGCCAATCCCAAGCAGACTCCATGATGAGCAAGGAGCCCAGCACAGGGCCTGATCCCATGACCCTGAGATCACGGCCAGAGCCGAAATCAAGAGCTAACACTTAACCAACTGAGCCACCCAGGCGCCCCTCAGAAAGATCTATCGTGATGCCACGTGGCAGGGTCCAAGAGCTGAGACAGTCGCACTGTGCTGGACATGCTGAACTCTACAGAGAATCCCTCCAGCTGGGCCTCCCCAAATCCACTGACAGCTCCTGGAGGGATCCCTGTGAACCCTCACTAATAAATCCACAGCCCCAGTGCTTTCTTCTGCACAAGTGGGGGACCTGCCCCAGACACTGGCCACTCACTGAGCATGATGATGTAAAACACTGAATTCTTAACAGAAATGATGACAGTGTCATAATAGTGTTGATGATGGCAAACACACTGAATTCTGTTGAGAAGTGCTTTTCACCTATGCTGGGGTGTGGCTCTACCAGTAACCAGCTGAGCGACTCTGGGAAGCGATGTCCCTGAGTCTTGGCTTCCCCCTTGGTAAAATGACAAAGTTGGGCTAGGTCTCGACTGCAGCCTAAAATATCTGCAGGGGTCAGAGTGATAATGGAAGCATCTGAGGCAGACTGAGTGTAGGGCCACAGGGGAGGCAGAGTCAACAAAGGAGAGAAAGCATTTTTTTTTTTTAAAAGCCCTCAAATTCTTTAAAAAAAAATAAATAAATAAAGGTATTTCTGGCTAAATAAAACAGAGCCCTAGCCTGAATCCAGCTCATGGGCCACCACACATAATAACCACGGGTTGGGTCACTCTTGGGCATTTTCCAGTTGCAAAACTAAGTCACTTTGATCTACCTAGGAAGAAGGTGTGGGGCAGGAATTCCAGCCAGAAACTTGGGACCCAGAGAAGGCCGATGACTGCTCTGAGGACACAAGCCAACCAAAAGACCCAGGTATCCAAAGATGGTAGTCTTGTTCTTTCCCCAGCACGTGTTTCCAAGCATAAAATCCAAGCTGGTCGCAAAGCCATGTTCTCTCTGGGAGTAACCTGTTGGAGGTTTTCAATATGCTTACTGTCCCATTCCACTGACCACAAAACTCAGCTCTAAAACGAGTCCATTAAAGGAAGCCCCTGAGTTTAGTAAAAGAAAAATCCTACCTCAGCTCCAGCTGATGCTAATTATAGAGTAATGTCCAATCGCAGACATTTAACCATGCTTAAGACTTCAAGTTTTAGATAACTTCCATCAGAACTTACATGGTAACCAAGACTACTAACCCAGAGAGAGGAAGAAATGAAATACAGGTGTGAGGACATGCAAAACTTTTCTGTCCACAGACCAGCCTTTTAATTTCGAGTTCCATTATGTGGGAGGATAGCACCGTCTTGCAATTTTAATGTGATGTCCCACCCCATAATATCCAAATACAATATTTATGCAGTAATCTCCAAAATGAAATATTCATGGGTGGGAGATTGGTTGCTGTATTTACTGCATTTGAAAATGGATAAGCTGCAAACACATGCTTTGGTTAACTATGAGTAAATAGAGACAAACAATCCCTCTGGTCTCGGTTCCAGGGTTGAGAGGGGGTCTGGACTAGGAGGACTGGCCGAGGCCAAGAGTCTGGGCATCTAGCAGGGGAAAGGAATCCGCTGCTTGGGCAGGGATCTGCATTTTTGTTTCTGTGCATGTGGCTGGACATCAAGGGAAGTGGGCATGCTTGGGTGTGTCTTTTCATAAATGCTGGCTTAGCAGTCAAAGCTGTGTGGTTCTCTCACCTAAGGGGTGCGGTGCAGATTTACTTGAGCACTGGGCCCAATACACAGAGGGTGACCGATGCCACTTCCCTCTCTAGTTTCAGCTCCAGGTGACATGGTCATGTGAGTAGGCGACAAGGTCAACTGAAGAGACGCAGAGAGGATGTGGGTACTGAGGCTGCCTCTGCTTTCACAGATGAGATGTGGGATGGTCTGGCCTCCCGGAATGCCAGTCTGCTCTTCTAGAGGATGGGCTCCATGACAGCTGTGCTGACAACCTCTTGAATCAGCCGTGGAAGAGTGACACGTGAGGTTTACGAAGGTCTCTGCTAAGTGTCTAGGAAGCACTGTTCATCCCGGCCAGGGACTGACATGTCATCAGTTCCTTCTTACGGAGCAACAGCACCCTCCCCAGTCCCTCATGCCCCTGAGCACCCTTTCATGCTTTGGTTTTCTTCATAGCATTTAAAACTTTGTATTATCATATACAAGACACTTATTTAGTTTACTGTCTCCTTACTGGATGTAAGCCCAAGGGGCCAGAGGGTACTTTGCTTGTTTGTCTTGGCCTATTTCTGTTC